GCAGTTCTTGAACACAGGCATTGAGTCCGGACGCACACTGACCAATGCATCTCTCACCGATTTCATGCAACAAACGAGTGTAAGGCTACCTTGAACCCAGGTTTTTAAAAAAAAATTCTTAGTGCGTTTGTACTTTTGACTAAATAGCGACGCCTCGGGACAACTCACAGCAAGCACTAGAATTTAACTTTAAGTTTAATTGTCGCAATACCGATTCTTTAGTTGTACGAAATTTGTAGGTTGACTTTGAATCTTATGACTAAGCTTATCAAGTATCTCTTTTTCATGTTTTGCACGCATTTTAGACCTATATGGAAGGCGGACTTTCTGGAATGATTGATGATCTACTGGCTTATTTGAATTTAACGAGCTTTCTAAGCAAGGGCAACGAAACAGTTAAGGAACTTACAAGGTTCTTTGTGCTAGTAAATGAAACGAGTACTATGGTCGGATTTTTGAAGACAAATCTCACAATGTACTGCAACAGGTTGAATGATTCCCGCGAACTCCTACAGAAGGCCTTCTTGAATGTTTCAAATTGTACCTCGGATGTGAAATGTACTAGTTTAAAAGTAAGCTGCAATTGGTGTCGTACCAACAATGAATAAAACTGTCAGCAGTTCTCAAAGAGGCTTGTTACATCACTCTGAATAAAAAATTAGCAAGCCACACGAATGCATTTCCCTTCGATGCCATTCTCTAACAGTCAAATCCTCCTTTTTTAATTGTGTCAACTTTGCGACTCGTTTCTTTGGACATCTGTAGTAAATATAGTTTGGTTTCTTTAAATTTTAAAATATGAGCTGGAAATGCAGATTATTCTTGATACTAAGATAGTTCTAAGAATAAAAATTGTTAACGTCGAATCGACCCATCTGATTTTTTACTCTGAGAGATGTTAAAACACCTGCAAGGACTGCCAGAACGGTGAGTTCATATGTGATCGAAAACGAAATGTTACAATTATGGCAAACTTGAATCACACGAATGCCACGTCGACGAATATTATTCATACCTCACTAATAGTGTAAACACTATTAATTTTACTTGTCTCTTTATTCTCCTTAAGGCAGCTACAGGGAACCTATCTTGTCCTATCAATCTCACGATAATCGACACAAATATGACACTAACCTTTGCCAAAATGTTGGAAAAAGCCGTTGCAAATTTTGAAACACTAATCCGCAACGTCAGCAAAGAAGTCGATGATATAAAATCGTCTACAGACAAAATGGTTCAAAACGTTGAAGAAAAAATTGATCTCGAAAAGGAGTTTGAATCGATCAATAAGTTTTGGAATGACACCAGTGCACAGGCTGAGGATGCGACAAAGAATTTGGAAGATCTCACCACCAGCGTGAACGATGGACTTTCACAATACTCGGGATACATTCGCATCGGATTCAACGCAATCGGCGGACTCTTCATAGTCATGGTGACCATCGCAGCCCTCATTGCTGCCCGTCTTCTTTATCGAGCTTTTCGTGATCGACTCTACGCTGGCGCGGACACCGTGCTCACATGTGAGTGAATTTGTTTGAATTCATCTTTGCAAAAATTGCCACACTCCAAACGAGGCTCAAATATCCACAAAGAAAAGACATCCCGAAAACTCACTTGACGACTGTCACATCAACATCAAGTTGGGTCTCAGGCCTTGGCATCAATTTCAGCAGACATAGACAGGAGGCTAAGACCACCAAATTTGAAGCGTGCAATTTTCCACTGTGCTTACTTGAGGTAGCTAACAGACGTTGACATTTTACCAACTAGCTCAACTTTCTTCTAACTAAGCAAGAACCGTGATTACATCTTACATCTGGTCCACAAAAGTACTAATACAGTATCACAACATAACCATGACAATCGTGCACAGTCTCATCGTGACAGTTTGTAAAGCATTGCGCTTATTGGTTACAGATACACCCGGTAATAAGTGGGACAAGATTGTCTGCGGAAAGGGGTCGGTCTGCTGCTGTTCGGCGATTTTCATCCCAATCCTGCTCATCTTCGCCGCCATAATTGCAGTTCTGCTATTCGTTTTGACGTCGGTATCAGGTTCGTTCAAGACTTTCTTCTGTGACATTTTGTTCCCAAAAGTGCAAGCAATCGTAGATTGTTTAAACCACATTGATAAAGTGACAGATGAGTAAAATGACACGCACATTCAGGATTTGGTAAATATGAAAATTTGTCACTTATCTTAAGCAATTGACCTCTCATGAAGTAAAGACTTCACTAAAGAAATTGTCGAGATAGCTTGACGAGTGCATTTAACTATTTAGCAATTGTTTTAGCCTACATTGAAGACAAATACGTTTGTGGGAAGCTGTACTATAGCTAGTTATTAATTGCCTCCTGTGAAAGGTGAGGGCTGCATCTACGTCACACGGGAGACAGGTGTGAACAAGACTGACTTCGTGGTGGACGGAATGTTGGCTCGGCGTTGGTCGTCACTTGTAGGTAGGTCGGTTGAAGAAGCCAACGAGTTCCTCTACGCCCCACCTCCCAGGCACGTGCTCTACGCTCTTACCCAGACCTGCCGTGGCAGCACAAAGCAGTCACCCAGAAGTGGCCTTCTGTCTGCCGTGGGGTACACCAGTCTGGTGGATGTCTCGAAATTGGTTAATAGTAAACGAGTGAAGGAGGGAATGGCCGAAGGAAAGAAGTGCGTTCCTCATGTCACTGAAACCAAACCTGACATTGATGGTAGCCCGCTCTGATATCAGTGAACCTCATCGTTGCCTGAATTTGGCCAGTGTTAGCAAGTATTTTATTCACTCCCGATTACAATTCATTGCAGCGATAGGACTTAGGCAAGTAGTGAAAGTGTCTCCGAATAGAGTGATGTTTTTCAACGATGTGCCGGATGACTTTATGTAAATTTACTCCAAGACTTCAACGCATCGAATGGATGCATTAAGATTTGCATGAATAACTTACTAAATAGTTTGAATTGTAAAAAAACGTTGATAGGACATGATGAGTTGAAGCTTTTCATTGATATTTTCAGCGTTACTGCTGAACACGTAAAAAAACTTGGAATTTCGTCAAAGCTGCCAAATGTGAGCTATTTAGAAAACGCCACAAACTCACTGAAAGCGGCAATAAACAGTCTTAACCTTACAGTGAGTTTTCTTTTACTTAACAAAGATTTTTATAAAACTTGTTCGCTCACATCGCAGGGATTTTAATCGTCTGCACGAACTGGGAAACTGAAGTTTTGTTAGTTTGTGTAACGCGCATTTGTGATTATACTTCATTCACGACTTATTGCAATTTCCCACCACCAGACGCCATCTGTTCAGGCCATTTTTTTAAATGTCTTTTAACGTGGTAACAGGAGTTGCCGCAATAATTCCAATGTGACTGGACTGTGATTGGGACAAACGTAGTCCACATCAATACCTACAAAAATGTCAATAGTGGTAAGACTTAAAGGGACAAATTGTCTGCTAATTGGAGACAGAATTTGCAAAATCATGTTGTCCTCTGTTTCTGATCCGCGAGTTGCCTGATTATTTGTCCAAATTTGTGCAGAAGTAGGCTTTTAAATGCCATTTTTGTGTCCGTTTATCCCTTTTAAGTGGATTCAAATTTCTTTCCTCATCTCTGTAGTTGTGTAGTTGATGGTTCTCGTTGGCATGAAATTATCCTTAATGCATTTTCGCCTTTTAGGTACTTATTAACTCGACGGACCCCAAATTTCCGAATGCAACTCCACTTGAGGTTCTTGTTGCCAACCTGAAAGAATTTTATAACCAATCGAACATAACAAATCAGGCTGAATTTAAAAATGGAACTGCTTCCTTGGAGACAGCAGTCAACACCACGGATGGCGTCAAGTCACTGATGAATTCAACTCACAATTCTCTAAACATTATTGTTAAAGATAAAAATAATACATTTCCACTGCTTGACGAGCTAGTGGAGGCTCTCAAGGCAGCCATTGCTGTAAGTTGATGCACTTTTTAAAACACATTATTGTAATTAGTTGACAACTTCGAACATAACCACCAGTACTGTTTTGCATTGAGCGCCTTAACATTGGCAGAGTTAAACAAACGTGAAAAATTGAAAGGGCGCACTTAGTCAACGATATTTTCTTCATTTGAGTGACTCTCAAATAATCATGATTAGTTGGTTTTCCATTGAAACCCTAAGCACTTAACCAACAGTAGTCCTGTCAGCCGTAGCACAGCAGTTTCTGGGACGAATCTTAATTCGCAGCCCACGAGGGTCTTTAATCTAAGCAAACTTATTGTGAAAAATGAGGTCTTGATTAACTACGAGTATTTCCCTGTGTTGTGATTGATCCCAGGAATAAGGTAAATTCCCATAATTCCACTCTATGATCGACAACGTTGGGCAATATTCCATGACGTCAGTAATGCGAATCATTGGCGACAGGAGACTTCTAATTGACAAGAGCCACGGAGCCACAACTATCAGTGTGAATGAGGAAATATAAATGTGGCAGCAGTGATAGTAAAAAAAACACGAGACCAGGTAATAGAGAGATGGCAGCAGATACGACCGTCTATTCGCATCGAGCAATTGTTAATAGGGACCAATGAAGGGTGTGGGTGAGTCATTGGTACCAACGATAACGCCGATTTATGAGCTTAAAATATCAGAAGCTGATGGCTTGAACAAGGATTACGTACTGATGATGCTTTTTGTCCATTTCAGTCTGCCAATAATGAATCCAAGTTGATAGGCAACGTTGAAACGAGTTATGACAAATTCGCCACAGATCTGCTCGCCTTCGTTGAGAAGAACGGCAACGTAACATTCTCGAAGCTCACCGGAGATCTCTTCCCCTGTGAGGAGGCCTACCGAGCAGTCAGTGTGGCACTGGCTGTGTCCTGTGGTGACGAGGGCGCCCTCAATCGATTCGTTGGTGTGGTCTACGTCCTGGCACTCACCGTCCTCTTCATCTGCTTCTTCTACTTCTCCCTCTTCAACCTCGCCTTCATGCA